GATTCTCTCAATCAAACAACTTTGCTCAAACTGGAGCTTACTCAGGCTTCGAAGCCCGTCCCGTAGAGCGCGCACAGGCTGCCTTCGAGAGGAACGCTGCTATCCTTCGTCAGGACAACTCTAATGATGGCGAGACTTACGCGTATGCTTATGAGACTGAGAACGGTATCTCCGCCGAGGAGAACGGAGTAGCGACCAACGGAGTGCAGGCTCAGGGCGGATACTCCTACACAGGGGATGATGGCAAGGTCTACTCTGTGAGGTGAGTATCTAAACTGTACTAAAAATTTAATCTTTATTGTAGAATTTTAAAAATAACATATCAATAATTTCAGGTACACCGCTGATGAGAACGGTTTCCAGCCACAGGGTGACCATCTCCCCACTCCTCCTCCGATCCCAGCTGAGATCCTAAAGGCTCTGGAACAGAACGCTCGCGATGAGGCCGCTGGTATCTACGACGATGGTGAGTAGCATGATGCATTCATGCGAAATTCAGGCCTAAAACCAAATTCATGTAATATCTTAATAACTTTGCCTTTCATCCTTTGTTTAGGAACCTACCGTGAAGCCTCCTTCTCAAGCAACAACCAACAACAGTACTACAACAACAACGCTCAGAGCTCTGTCGCTGAAGTCCAGAAAGCCTACCTTCCTCCCTTCGCTCAGCGTAACAACCAGGGAACCGGAGTCCAGCCACCCGCTTTCAACAACAATGCCTTTGCTCGCAACAACGCTGCCCAAAGCACTAACTCAGCCGCTGGAATCCAAAAATCGTACCTTCCTCCCTTCGCTCAGCGTAGCAACCAAAGGGCTGCTGTCCGTCAACCCACCGTCAACAACAACTCTTTTGCCAGGAACAACGCTGGCTTCAACTCTGGAGTTCAGAAATCGTACCTTCCCCCCTTCCAGAGAAATGGAGCGGGACAATCCTTCAACGCTAGAGATGGCTACCGTTACTAGAAAATTTTAGACTGTTTTTGTTACTGTGATTTTGAATTATTTAATATATAGAAATGCCATATCTGTATTTGTGATTTATTTATTTTTATTATTACATTAACGAAGTTACTTTATCAACCTCCTCCAAAAAAAGAACAAAAACAATATCACATAATAATTGATGCTAGGAATTGTTTGTGCTTGGATTAATATCATGTACGTTGGTTTTCGATAATTCCCTGGTGTTCAAGTTAATTTTAAATTAAATGACAATGAATATCATAAAGCTGGGTAAGCGCAATAAGTCACCGCAGCTTCGGCTTAGAGCAGGACTTCTCCAGTCTCCTGCTCTAAGCCGAAGCCGAACAGGGGGTTTTTAGTCAGTAAGAGGCTAACACTTCCTCCCGTTATCCTATAAGTATCTCCTTACAAAAAAAACTATTTCATAATATAAAAGTTGCAAGAGAAATTAAAAAATACCATAATCATAATTATTATGCCATCAAATCATCACACAATAAAATCTTATATCAGCTAATTTGTTAAAACAGAAAACGCATCAGATAAACTAATAATAATTAATTCCCATCCCACGGTTGTCGTGGGACTAAATAAAATAATTATCACAAATAGTCCACTTGTAATTAATGACAATTAAAGCACGAAATCTTGGACGGTGTGATTTATTTCCAACTGAAATTATTTTAACGACTTTAAGTTCTGGTCACATAAAGGTACTCGATGTCTGCGCTTACGCCACTAAAGTAGTAACATGTGAAATTGCTGTGACAAAAAAACAAGGCCGATATTCGCCTTGATAATTTGATAATAAATAGTTTTTACAAATTACACACTACAATTTTTTGGTAAGAATTTAAAATCGTGACGTCATATAATGAAATGAAGTAATTTTAAGTAACTTAAAACCATCCCCTTGCAACTCTTGCCCTGTGTCAACATTTCGTTATATGCCAAGTCACGTCTACATCATCAGCCTATAAGTACCCACTGTTGAGCAAAAGCTTCTTTTAACACAGAGAAGGTTTGAGAATTAATCACCACGCTTGCTCAAGGATAGATTATTTCAGGCTTATCATTAGAAATTATTCAATCAAATCAAATCAAAATCATTTATTCCAACTAAACCATAAATAGGTACTTTTAAACGTCAAAATAGTTCAATTAATAATTAGTTCAGTTTTCCTCGTGATGTTTTCCTTCACCATTTATCAGCGATGTCAAAATACTACTCTGTCAAGAAAGTACCGGGAAAAAGTCAATAATACACAAAATGTTTGTTATTCATCTAAATTTATTTTATCACCTTCAAAGTATGCTCCTTCAGAAACGATACACCCACGCCAACGAATAATCCAATCATCGAAACTTTTTTTAAACGCTGTTTCCGGAATTGAGTTCAGTGCTCGCCGCGAATTCTCCTTTAAGGCTTCTAACGATTGAAAACGGGTGCCACGAAGGGGTAATTTGAGTGTGGGAAAAAGAAAGAAGTCGGCTGGAGCCATATCTGGCGAATATGGTGGCTGCTCGATGGTGTTTGTTGAGTGTTTGGACAAAAAATCGTTTACAATGATGGCCTTGTGCGAAGGCGCATTATCGTGATGCAAAATCCAAGAATTTTCTTTCCACATTTCTGGCCTTTTTCGTCGAATTTGTTCTCTTAAACGCCGCATAACGCTCAAATAATATTCTTTATTTACCGTTTGACCTTCGGGCAAGAATTCTGAGTGCACAACACCACGATAGTCAAAGAAAACAGTCAACATGACTTTGACTTTTGATCGACTTTGACGTGGCTTTTTGGTTTTGGTTCAGTTGGAAGGCGCCATTCCGAAGCTTGTTGACTAGTTTGCATGTCAAACTCGTAAACCCACGTCTCGTCACCAGTAACAATGCGTTTCATGAATGTTGGGTCGGTATTGACTCGTTCTAGCATGTCCTCAGCGACTTTCATGCGATTTAGTTTTTGAAGAAATTCAGGTCTTTTGGGACTAGCCGAGCGGCAACACGTTTCATACCCAAATTATTTGTTAAAATAGTACGGATCGACTCGTGAGATACAGAAAGTTCGGCGGCCATCTCTCTCAAACTTGAATGAGGATTTTCAGTCACTATTTCCTTCACTTTTGCGATGTTAACTTCAGTTGCAGACGTTGATGGCCTACCAGAACGAGGCAAATCTTCCATCGCATCTCGACCGCTTTTGAACGCTTTGTACCACTCATAAGCACGTGTTTTTGATAAAGTCGTAGTCGTCGTCGTCTTCACCGTAAGCCTTCTGTAACATTTTGAGTGCCTCCGAACACGAAATTTCATTGGCGATGCAAAATTTAAGACAAACTCTTTGTTCGATGTTTTTGTCCATTATGAAATTCGCAATACACACTAGATATTATAAAACTAAAAATAGCACTGTTTTTAATATAAATAACAGATGTAACTCAAATTCCGCGCCAAAATGGAAAACAGTTATGCCAATCTAACAACAACAAAAAAAATTAAAATTCGAATTTGGAACCTTAAAAAAAACATTCATTCCCGATACTTTGTTGACTGAATGTATTATCTAAGAAAATAATTTAAATAGAAATAGTAACATTGTTAGGTACTTTCCAGGTTTTAAACCCGCGCCCTGATTCATGAAAAGTAGGTGGCTTACCACAAGGTAGGTGCAGTACTAAAGGAATCAAACAGACATTTTTTAAACAGGACCGTCTTTATATACCGTTGTAAAAAAATATGTTTTGCAGTCTGCATGAAGAATGATCTACATTTATTGCAATCTGGCAGTGACATCGAGGTATGTTATGTGTTTTCACACAGACATAGATCTATACTAATATTATTAAGAGGTAAAATTTGTATGTTTGTAAGTTTGTATGTAGGGGGTATTCTTTGGAAACGCTGGTCGGATTGCCAAAATTCTTTCACTGATAGATAGCTACAATGTTCCTGAGTGCTATGGGCTATAAAACATCACGTTACGATCAAATGGAGCCGAGCAGCGGGTGATAATACGAGAGTAGCTAGTATTATACAATTGGCGAAATAAATACACGTAATTTACATTTTACATATGAATCCTTGTACATAACAATTATTACGCATAACATAGTATAAAGTATGACATCAAAAACTATAATTTTAAAATATGTTACCTATGTTATCGTCATACAGAAAATAGAAATGTCTCACATAATACAATATATGTATATTATCTCACACACACACACACAGATACACAAACACACAAAAAATACAGAGAGAGAGAGAGAGAAAAAGAACAGCTGTGAAACAACGACAGATATGTGTTTCGCCTTATATAATTATATATTCCCATCCCACAGAGCCAGAATGGACACGGTTGTATGAAATACTTAAGGCAATTTATCAGCTATCACTTGCTAAAGTAATAGATAACGTTTTAAAATGGAGGACAGCTATGCTACAGTACAAATTGACCTTACCGGAAACTGGCCTAAAACAATGCCACTTAATATTTCCACACATTACATTTAATTAAACCTTGTTTTGTCATCCCATTTTCCTAACTCTTTGCAATTTATTTTTTATGTCCCATCCTAGGATTTTCTCCTGTGTCATGTGCGTTAACAAGCATGCAATTTCACCCTGACCCGGTATAAAGGTTTGGGGATCACCAGGTGAAAATTAAGCCACACCTAAAAATTTTAAATATATATGTAATATGGAAAAAATACTTCCACGTCTTTAATAGTTCAGCTATTTCGTCAATGAAGCGTCAATTTAGGAATGGCAATGAAACAATTAGTGTATTCATTTTCTAGTATGTTAAATTTCAATCTATTTCATTTGCATTTCGTAGGTTATGCTCTATTTTATTATAATTCGATCATAGCTTTCTTGCAATGTGACCACACCTAAGGTCAGCCACAAATAAACAAGTTCATCCTCGAGCATCATACGCTCATTAAGAAACATTGGCCGCTACTTACGATGTAATTGATGGATTCGCACCTCACTATAAATACTGTGATAACGATCGTGGGTTATCAGTTGCACTCACAGCTTCTGGGTAGCAAGTTCTGTACAACACAAGAACACAAAATGAAATTGGTGAGATTTTATATAGAGCAATTGAGTTTTTTAATTGTTAATAAAATATTAAGTTCATCATTAAATTACTTGACCGTATTTTTCATTTTTAGTTCATCGTCTTAGCCGCTGTTGCTTTGGCTCAGGCCGCCAAATTGGACAGGACTTACCTCCCACCAAACGCGGAAGCCTCTGCAGGATCTGCGTTCCTCCAAACTCCTCGTCAGTCTAACGGATTCCAAGGACAAACTGGTGCCTTCTCATCCAACTCCAACGCCCAGAGTGGAGCTTACTCAGGCTTGGAAGCCCGTCCCGTAGAGCGCGCTCAGGCTGCCTTCGAGAGGAACGCTGCTATCCTTCGTCAGGACAACTCTAATGATGGAGAGACTTACGCGTATGCTTATGAGACTGAGAACGGTATCTCCGCCGAGGAAAACGGAGTGGCGACCAACGGAGTGCAGGCTCAGGGCGGATACTCCTACACTGGGGATGATGGCAAGGTCTACTCTGTGAGGTAAGCATTAATTCTAAAATTGGACTTTAATTTTGTTATGTCAATAATACAAACTAACATCATTTGTCACGTTACAGGTACACCGCTGATGAGAACGGTTTCCAACCTCAAGGTGACCATCTCCCCACTCCTCACCCCATCCCAGAAGAGATTCTGAAGGCTCTGGAACAGAACGCTCGCGATGAAGCTGCTGGCATCTTTGACGATGGTTAGCATTTCTGAAAATTGCTCACTCCTTGTTGCAAATTTAATTTACAGTAAATAAATAGGTAATATATTTTTATTTTCAGGATCCTACAGCGAAGCCAAATACGACAGCAGCGCTCGTAGTGATGCTGCTGCTGGAGTCCAGAAAGCGTACCTCCCCCCCTTCGCGCAGAAGGCTGGAGCGAGACAATCCTCCTTCGACGCTAGAGCCGGCTACCGTTACTAGAGACTGGTGTAAATTATTGTACATATCGGATCGTTATTCAATAAAGTATTTATTTAAACACAAACTCTTTATTATGATTTAAGGCTGATTTTTCAATAGTCAGTTATCCGACAATTAAAATTGTTGCTGTCACTGTCTTAAACAATCATTCTGACACGACAGCATCATACTTACTTCTCAGATACCAAACTATTGAAAAATCAGCCCTCAGTATTTGAAAACAAACACTCCTTTATAATTATTGTAAAAGTAAACTTAATTGTTAAGTTCGAGTTAATAGAAAACTGTTATAAAATTAGTTATTCTTTTGTGGTGAACTTTTTAACATTGTGTCCCACTTTCTATTAAAATCACGTCCATCTCAATTAAAATCCTATTTTCTTATTCTTTGGGATGTCTTGTCATCATCATCATCATCATTATCAGCCACTATTGGTTATCAGCTACTTCAATGACACAGGCTCAATGTCCAGTACTTCGCATCGGACTTAAATTGTACTATGTATTCCAAATATGAAGTACTAGCTACTCTCGCGCGGTTTCACCCGCTGCTCGGCTCCATTTGATCGTAGCGTGATGTTTTATAGCCTACAGCACTCAGGAACATTGTAGCTATCTACCAGTGAAAGAATTTTGGAAATCCGACCATCGGTTCCAAAGATTACCCCCTACATACAAACTTACAAATTTTACCTCTTTATAATATTAGTACAGTTGTTGGACGACCCTGACATCAAGCTTGGGATCCTAAGCTTAGCAGTCACGCTTACAGCCACTTCTCTAATGAGGTTTACGCTCACGATCTTAGAAAATACTCAGCAATGATTAAGACTACCAACAAACAGTTGAAACAATACAATTTTGAGTTATAATCATATTTCAAAATTCTTTATGAGTAATTAGCAAGGAAGGAATCTCCTGGTTGATGTCTTTATCGATAAGGTAGTACCGAGTTGTCCTGTTTTTATATTGTGTCTGATGTATAAGTTCCTTTAACAATGGAAATAAAATTTCAACTCCTTAGTTTGGTATAATAAAGATTATAATAAAAAGTATAAAAAGAGAAAAAAATAAAATAAAAAAAAATGTGATTGGATACCTACTTCACAACTAGTCTAATAAATTATTATAAACTGTCAAAATTGTACTGTGAACGTTGTATTGAAGGTATTTAGTTTTGAAAAAAAAATACATACTTAGAAAATATTAAAATATATGATTATGAGGGTATACATATAGTTATGTGTCAAAAAATCTTCAATCACCCTGCTACACTTTGATCTATGTCGTAAGCAGACAAGTAAGTGGTAGTCTTCTTTTATAAAACTTGCATAAGTAACTGATAAAGACAGATCGAGTAATCTACTCATCACTTGCGCAATGAACTTCGCGAACTTAAACTTCAAATTAAGATTAAAAATAAAACGTAACCTCAATTACTAAACAAGCCGTGCTTATCTCAATTTCGCTTAGATAAAAACTCCGTGCAATATTTTTTATTTAGGTCACATTTAGTGTCGAATATATTAAAATGAATAACTAAAATCTTCTTTACTATCTCTACTATCTAATCAGTTGGCTGCCATCTTAATGATGATAGATGATTTTGTTCCTTAACAGGTAAAAAAAGAATAAGTGTGGGAGAGTCATGCTTCAGTACGAATGGGCCGGCTCGACCAGTGTGATACTAGGTCCTTTCAATAAACTGGCGCGAAATAACCTGGTTTTGCCGTGTAAGTAGGGTCACTGGAGGCCCGATTGTTCATTCTTCTTCACGAATCTCTAAATCCCTAATACCGGAATTCTTAAAAAGGCCGGCAACGCAACTCCTATGATATTGCAGGTGTCTATGGGTGGCGGCCAATTGCTTACAATCTGCTAGTCGTCCTATCACATAAAAAGGGATAAAACATTAGAAGCTAAATGAAGCTCAGTTTAGTTTTGGAGAAGCATATCGTTTATAGTATTAAGGTAGATAGTGGTAAAACACATAATAATTATATGTGCTTTTATTCTTACATTAAAGATTGGTGGTTCTACGAGTATATAAAGTAGCTTTGTGCACGTATTTCTTCTCAACCAAACATCTGTTTACTGTTAGTATTTCCAAAGTTTCATAATTCTGACTTTTTAACATAATATTTCTCGCACAGTAAATTATGATTTTTTTAAGCGTCTACTCTAATACTTTTTCTGCAATCTATCGAAAAATTCCATCTCTATAATTATCTTAGCAATGTGCATTACCAGAGCATCTGCATACATTTCGTAACTGATCTAGCATCAGCCATTCTGTGTCAGTCTGTAAGATTTATCAGACCAATTTGTTTTGACATTACTGACATGTCTAGTTAAAGATTTCAATAGATCATTACTCATTCGATTCTAGATACACTCGATGGACAGGCAGAAACGATCACATTTCAATTTCAATCATGAGAAAATAGTTACATATGGGAATATTTATTTAAAATAGTGTACCACTGTATATTTACACAACTGTTAAGTATAATTCTGAGAAGAGGACGAAAGAAGAAACGTTTTTAGAAACAAGGTACAGTACAAATTAACTAAAAATTGCGGGTTACTCACGTGTATATATTGAGAAAAGCTCTAAGTAGGCTGCGCGACGTCGCCGCGTCCGCGCACGCTGCTCATGAGGAAGAATCTCTCTGTGGTTCGAAACTAGTAGAGCTTTTCTCAATGTAAACACGTGAGTAACACGCGATTTTTAGTTAATTTAGTATGTCTCACGATAGTTACTGTTATTATAAAAATATAGTACAAGTGTTTATCAAAAATAATCATTCGTTTAAATAAATACTTTATTGAATAACAATCCGATATGTACAATAATTTACATCAGTCTCTAGTAACGGTAGCCGGCTCTAGCGTCGAAGGAGGATTGTCTCGCTCCAGCCTTCTGTGCGAAGGGGGGGAGGTACGCTTTCTGGACTCCAGCAGCAGCATCACTACGAGCGTTGCTGTCGTATTTGGCTTCACTGTAGGATCCTGACAATATAAATAAATTACCTGTTTATTTACTGTAAAGAAAATTCGCACCAAGAAGCGAGTAATTTTCTGAAATGCTTACCATCGTCAAAGATGCCAGCAGCTTCATCGCGAGCGTTCTGTTCCAGAGCCTTCAGGATCTCTTCAGGGATGGGGTGAGGAGTAGGGAGATGGTCCCCTTGAGGTTGGAAACCGTTTTCATCAGCGGTGTACCTGCAAAGTGACAAATGATGTTTGTATTATTGAGATAACAAAATTGTTTGATAGTTCAATTTTAGAATTAATGCTTACCTCACAGAGTAGACCTTGCCATCATCCCCAGTGTAGGAGTATCCTCCCTGAGCCTGCACTCCGTTGGTCGCCACTCCGTTCTCCTCGGCGGAGATACCGTTCTCAGTCTCATAAGCATACGCGTAAGTCTCTCCATCGTTGGAGTTGTCCTGACGAAGGATAGCAGCGTTCCTCTCGAAGGCAGCCTGAGCGCGCTCTACGGGACGGGCTTCAAAGCCTGAGTAAGCTCCACTCTGGGCGTTGGAGTTAGGTAAGATGGCACCGGTTTGTCCCTGGAATCCGTTAGATTGACGAGGAGTTTGGAGAAAGGTAGATCCTGCAGAGGCTTCCGCGTTTGGTGGGAGGTAAGTCCTGTCCAATTTTGCGGCCTGAGCCAAAGCAACAGCGGCTAAGACGATGAACTGAAAATGAAAAATACGGTCAAGTTATTTAATGATGAACTTAATAATTAATTAAAACTCAATTGCTCCAGATAAAACCTCACCAATTTCATTTTTTGTTCTTGTGTTGTACAGAACTTGCTACCCAGAAGCTGTGAGTGTAACTGATAACCCACGATCGTTATCACAGTATTTATAGTGAGGTGCGAATCCATCAATTACATCGTAAGTAGCGGCCAATGTTACTTAATGAGCGTATGATGCTCGAGGATGAACTTGTTTATTTGTGGCTGACCTTAGGAGTGGTCACATTGTAAGAAAGTATATTAGCAATAGGAAGGTGGTATTGATTTTAAAGTAGAGCTGATATTTATGTAATGTAATGTGTGATAAATAATTATAACATAATGCACTTTTATTGTATTTTATATTAGTAAAGTCTCGTTATCGATTTCAACCATAATGGCTAGTCTGTTTTAAAAATCAATTCTCCAAAAGGAAATATTAAAATTCACAAATTTATACTTTTTTCGTCGAGTATAAACTAAAAATTAGACTAGAAACATCAATGAAAACACAGAAACACTGAAGTTCCAGTTTAGTTTCGTTTATTTTGAAAATTTTTACGAAATTAATCGGTGAATACTGTTAGAGTTAGTTAAGTGTGGGAGAGCCTTGAAGTGTGGGAGAGCCATGCTTCGGCACGAATGGGTCGGCTCGACCGGAGTGGTGATAACCGGCGTGAAACAACCAGTGTTGTGTTTCGCCGTGTGAGTGAGGTTACCGGAGGCCTAATCCTTCCCCTTCCCTAATCCCTCCCCAGTTCCTAAATCTCCAAATCTCTAATCCCTAAAAGGTCGGCAACGCACTCGTAACTCCTCCGTTGCGGGTGTCCATGAGCGGCGCTGATTGCGTACCATCAGGTAATCCGTCTGCTCGTTTGCCGACCTATTACATTCAAAAAAAAAAGACTAGAAGACAACTGACTTCAAAAATAAGTGGATAAATGGGATGCACGATGGTGTGAGTCAGCTCCTAAGTACCAGACGGTGTGTGTCGGTTTGCAGTTTAATAAGTGTGACAATCGACCATCTTACGAGGACATCTAAGAACGGTAACATCCCTTCTCTCTCTTCTGAACTGTTCCTTGTTGTGCACTGATTTCAAGTTTCCAAGAATTCTGCCACAAGTTTCTGGTTGATGATAGCGAATATACCATCAACGTATCTTCATCAAATTGCGGTTGTACTGGGCAGAGGCTCATGCTTGACGCTCAAATCAAGCCATGTATATATTTGCCACCACTAGGGCTAGAGGCGATCCCAATGCGACCCCTGTCACCCCTTATAA